GGCTCGGCTTGGAATTGGATGTTAAGCAAGGTGTGGTCTCAAACAATTTTGAATTCTCCCCGAAAAATTTGTGCTGCGTGCTTACATATATAGCACTGATTACTGTTGCTTTTATAATGAATTTTTATTATATATATATATATATATATATATAAAGTGACTGGAATCCATGTATACAAATAATTAAATTATATTTTATTAGATTATGTTTATATGAAAAGCAATATAGCAGATTCAACCAGCCAACCAGAAAGTTTCGAAGGCGTTCGTTCGATGACTTCAATTTAGTACGGTTAGCATTTTGGTTAAGACTGTATAATAGTGTAGTACATACATTAAATAAGTTTTTTATTGATGTGAATGATTGAAATGATGAAAATGTATGGTTGAAACGAGTATAAATAGGAGCTGAAAAAACGTTGAAATCAGATCAGGCATTTCTGCCTCGCTCGAGTCTATACAACTCTATACAACTCTATAGAGTTGTATAGAGTTGTATAGAGCATAAATCCTATATAGATACCGTTCTTTGCGGTTCTTTTCTTTGCCTACCGGTCGGCTTCTTTGCGTTTCTCTATTTTCATTTAAATTAATTAAATAAATAAGATTTGTCCATTCATCCAGGTTCATTCAGGTTCATTCATTCAGGTTATAGCTTCCAGAGGAGTTAGTCGTGGAGGATCAGAATGGTTGTAATGTCACCCTACATTCAACCTTAACCCTAACTTCCGACTTTACGGTTTCTTAACGGTTTCTTTTTTTGCCAGTATGCTGGCTTTTCCGGCTGGTGGATTTCACCGCGGCTCGTTTCTCTATTTTCATTAAAATTAATTAATTAAATAGGATTTTTTCATTTCATTCAGGTTGAAGCTTCCAGAGGAGTTCATCATGGAAGATGTCAGGCTACGTTCGTTCATTCAGTGGCAAAGAATACCTGCCTGACTGGGATACGTTTTCTTCTTTTTTTCTGTAATTTAACATTAAGTAGGAATGCTCACACGCACACACACGCATACACAATTACATTAAGTAGCTATATAGGTAGGTTAGATAGGCCTAATTTTAATTGTAGGTAGGATAGATAGGGAGCATCCAACACTAATGTAGTTGAATAGGTAGGCAGCGTAAGTTTATCTCTTCTATTTTATCTTGCATCCACATTACACGCACCAGCGTATCACACACACACACACAAATACATACATAAACACATATGTTAGTATTTGAGCGTAATTTTATTTTCATTACACATTCTAATTTATTATTGCTAAGATTAAGAGTAATTTAATTTCATAGGTAGTTAAGAGCAATAATGTAATTCTAGGAAAAATCTTGTAATGTAAATTAAAACGCTGTAAGTGTATCGATAGGTAGGTTAATTGTTAAGTTTTACATTATTATTATTAAGTTGGAGCCCAAGGCATTACGTAGGTGGTGGGGTGGGTGCCGAAAGGCCAATGAATTGGGCTCTTGAGTTTTGTAATTTTAGGTAAGCTAGGACCGTAATGTAATGAATAGGTAAGTTGAGGGTACGATAGCCGATAGACTCTGAATTTCGAAGTCTCTTGTCAGAGGTAAGCCTTGTCGGCCAGTGGTGAACCGGCAATGGTTTACTATCCGGACGGCAATGGTTTACTATCTGCACGGTAATGATTTACTATGCGGCATGGCCATAGTCTACTACCCGCACGGCTTCCGGACGGCAAATGGTTTACTATCCGCAAGGCAGTAGTCTACTATCCGCACGGCAATGGTTTACTATCCGGTGCCCTGGCTGTCGGTGAACCTCTGTGCAAGGAGGGAGAATGAAGGGGAACTTTCGACTATCGTACCATTAACAATTTATTATAGATTAGTTAAGGTAATTGAATAGGTAGATAGGATTATTTTTGTTAAGCAATTTAAGATGCAGGCACCGCTAAGCTTTCCATTCCACGGGCTGTGTTTCAACAACAATCTCGAGGAGGACTGGCACCAGTTTTGGAGGACAACGCAGGAAACGGAAGGCACTCATCATTTTGCCTTTGTCGAATGGACGACGGTAAGTTTTTTTTACATTTTACTCCCTTTATTATTTTCAAATATTATTTATTTGCCATTATTTCCATTTTTATAATTTTTTGCTTCTAAGATTCTAACATTCATTTACTACTAAGCTAATAAAAATAACTTGTCTACAGACTGATGAGAGGTGGGCAGTGGTGGGCGTCAGCATGTTTCAGATGGTGGTCTCATGATGATCGTTCCGATAACAACTCGAAGAAAACAACAACGACGATTTTTGAAGTATGGTTTAGTTTCGTTGTTTTTATTTTTTTCATTCATTCATTTTGTCACACAATCTTTCATTCATCCATTAATTGACTCATTCTATTCATTCATTGAATCATAGATTGGTTAATTCATTCAATCACTCAATCATTCGCTCAATCATTTATTCGTTTGTTCTTTCGTTTTAACATTTATTTACTACTAAGCCAATAAAAAAAATTTGTCTACAGAATGATCAGAGGTGGGTTGTGGTGGGAGTCAGCACGTTTCATGATAGTAATCTCATGGTAAGATAAGTTGCTTCTTACTTTTTTTCAATGGCTTGTTTTTTATTTTAAAAATTTAACTTTTTCTTTCAATTTTGTTTTTTAGTATCCGGTAAAATTCATTTTCTCGGTGCGTATCAGATGATGGTCGGTGCAATGGAGGTTCGTCCGTAGTGGGTGAAGAAGTTTCTGGAGGGTACGCGCGCGCACATTTACATACACGCACACACATAAATACAACACACACGTACACAACATCCATTCATTCGGTGTCGTTGTTGTTATTTTTCTCTTCAACTTTCTATTTTCTTTACCGGACTTAATTTAATTCATAGGTAAGTTGGGGATTGAGATGAGTTGAACAACTGTAGGTAGGCTAGGGCTTAACATTAGTTAAAAAGTTTCAAGTAAAATATTAACATTAACATAAATTAAAAGCTTCAAGTAAAATTAAAATGTTAAAATATGTAAAATAAATGAGTTGAGTTATCATTGCAGGTAAGCTAGGGCCCTGAGAGTAATTTAATTGTAGGTAGGTGACTGACTATTATTCTTGCAACTTTTTAATATTTTTTTTTGTGGTGTGTTTGTTTTCGCTTCTTAGCACCACACAACACCAACAAAACAAACTACAATTTTTTTGTCTTCGCCTTAAATTTTAACATTTTTGAACAATCTTTTTAATAATGTCTATTTATTTATTTGTAAAATGTTGACTGGTTTCTAGTTTCTTAATTTGGTTATATAATTTTTGGATATTTCCTGATTTACTTTGTAAAATATATGCATGCATGAATAATTTCTGTTTGGTATGTTGATTTAGTCATTATGATATGCTGTGAACTGTCCTTACTAAATATTCATGTTTCGTGGTAATTATTTTTTATCGATTGATATTTTGTTATATTTGTTTGTTTAAAATCTGAACTTTTTAAAAATTGATATTTAACAAATTTTGATTTCGTCACTTCATCTTTTGATGATGTCAAATAAAAGCAACTGTTGTGTTTTTCTTTTCTTACTAAAATCTCGAATACAAACATGTACACATAAAGAGACACAGACACACATACATACAAACATACATACTGCCATCATATTTACGCAGTACAATAAACATTCATGTCATTTCTGTCGATGTATTTTAAGTATGTTATACTGTTAATCTTGTTAACTATGATGACGATCATCATCATCATCATCACAACCATCATCAACGAACAACAATAACAACAATATAATAATAATAACAACAACGAAATAAAAATAGTTGTTCTCATTACGCATTTCAAAAGCTTGCATTCTTTTAATACAAGCGTTATATATATATATATATATATAATATAACATGTGTGTGTGTGTGTGTGTGTGTATGAGTTTGTTTGTGTGTGTGCGTGTATGTGTATTGTATATTTTTATCTATTTATTGAAACGTTATTTTTTACGCATACCCCTTGTCTCATTCTCTCTCTCTCTCTCTCTCTCTCTTTCTTACTTTATATATATATATATATATATACATATATGACTGGCTGGCTGGCTGACCGACCGACCGATCGACTGACTGATTGTTTGATTGTTTGATTGATTTATCTCATAGTATTGTATACATGAGAAAAAATCCGATTAAGCCAATCTACGGCTTCAGTAAGCCACTGCTTTTCACCTGACAAAAGCAATTTCTATATTTATATTGACAAAAATAATTGTGATATGAATATATTGATTTATTTAAAGCATTATATGTACAAAAAAGTGCTATCGTAAGAGTTCTATGAAACCCTGTAAGCCACTGCTGTAAGCCAACGTATGATTTCAGCAGCCAGTTTCTTATGAGCACCAGCAGAATGTAAAATATTCATTGAATATAATGAAGATAGTTGTTCAAATAACAATTTTGATTTATTTAGGCCGTTTATTTCATAAGCAAACCAATTTTTAACATGATCGAATAGTGTAAAAAAAAAGGGTGACTATAGTTTAATCCTACTAAGCCAACCTTCGGCTTCAGTAAGCCACCGGATTTCACCGGGCCAAAATCAATTTTTATATTCAAATTAACAAAAATAATTTAATAATACATAATTCTATTAATCATTATTAAAATTAAATAGAATTACTACAATGTTTTAAGCATATTAAATCAAGTAAATATCTCATTTAGCTTGCTCGTTAAAATCCATGCAATTTCGTAAGCCAACAATCCAAGCACGACAAATAGCCCGACCGATAGATCGAATTGATCGATTAGTCCTATTATTCTAGTTATGTGGTTTGGAGCAAGGGGAGACATTACTGAAAATAATTAAAAGTTGAAAAAATTGAGGTTCTTTGCATATCTCTGCTTCAACCCATAAGAAGGTGTTGTATGCTGGTAAATAGGCCTCCCCTTGCTTTGTACCCGTTGAGAAATGTTATAGTTCAATTTCTAAAACTAAATAGATCTACCCGCCGGTTATGAAGTAAAAATTTAAAAAAATAAGCGGTTTTTTGAAAAATTTTAATTTTTAAATGTTAATGACTTTAAAATTGAAAAACATGAATGAAAAACGTTTAACGAAGAAAAGAATAATTCATACAACATAATGTTATAGTTCAATTTCTAAAACTAAATAGATCTATCCGCCGATTATGAAGTAAAAATCATGGAATTATATAACTGGAAGCGCCCTACCAGCGTTTTAACATTGAAATTTTTTTTAAACGGCAAGTTACCTCTGGAAGCAAGTTTCTAAAAATTAATAATTTGTTTTAAAAGTGAAACTATCTTTTTAACAGATACGTTTAAAATTTTGTTACACATTTTGTAATGTATCATATTTTTATAACTTTATAGAGGTTTTGTGGTTTTTCTAGTAAAAATTGGTTTAAAATTTTTTTTTAACTTTTATTATAAGCTTTTATTATTTAGTTTAACTTTTAGTTGTACCGTGGGAGGAACTTATGAGTCTCTTTAAACTGTTGACTATAAATAAATATTGCTGGAAAAACCACTTTGCCGTCTCCGAGATTACCTAATTAATGTTCAAATATTTTTTATATTGTTTTTATATTATGGGTTTATTATTATTATTAGGATGCCTTTGTAAAATGGCTTTTTGTCATAAGAAATACAGAATACAAAGAGTTTTTTTATTTTAATTTATTGGGTATATATATATATATATATATATATATGATGAAAAATTTTAATTGCAGCTATTTACTTTCAAACTATTTACTTTCAAATCATATTTAGACGTTTTGCTCAATGGATGCACGTCTCATCAAGCAACAGCAAAGGCAATCAAAGTATTACAAGTCCAGAATCACAATGCTGCAGGCAACAATAAGAAAACTTATGAATGAATGTAATAAATTAAAAAATGAATTAGCTACATACAAAGGTTTTATGTTATGTAATCATAGCAAAATGAACTGAAATTTTGATTAATTTTTTGTTTTTTTTTTGCTTCTAGATAAAAAACTCTACCATTTAAAAAGAGTTAACAAAGTATATAATGATAGTTACAAGACCTTTTATATGCAGCTGCATTTTCATGGTCCTCATGCATACCAATTTTTAAGAAAAAGTGGACTAACACTGCCACACTCAAGAACATTGAACAAGTAAAATTTTGTTAATAATGATATTCTGTAAACTAATATTGCTATATAAAGAAATATGTACTGCAAATAAAATATTGCAAATGCTCTTTAATCCTTGATTCGATATCAATAAAGCCTCAAATAACGTATAATAAGAAAACTGGTAGGTTTTTTAAAATATATTTTGTTTGTGAAATTGTGAGTTTAAAATATAGCATATTTTGGTAGCATATGCTAGTTTATTCCTTGTGTATTTTATTTATTTCTTGATTTTTTTTTGTTTCCCATTTCACCATAAACATTTGTTTTCAATTTATTTAATTTTATTAATGTTAAATGTTAAGCATAAATTATCAAATGCATTGTTTATTTGTGAAGATGACTCTATTGGATATGTTAACTATGGAGATGGGAATGAGGACATAGTTGCTTCAGAGATGTTGGTTTTTTATGTTGTTAGTCTGAGAGAAGCTTGGAGGCATTCAATAGCTTATTTTTATACAATAGCTTATTTTTTATCATCTCACAAGTTGAAAGATTTTATAGAGAAAGCTATTGATAAGTTACATAATGCTGGAGTTAGGGTAAACAACATTTGTTTTTCTTAAAGATATGTTAAAATTTTTATACATTATATTTATTTTTTAGGGTTGTTTCACTGGTAATGGATGGGTTGGCCACTAATGTTTCGGCATGTGGATTGCTTGGAAGCTCTTTCACATTTTCAAACATGCAAACAAGTTTCTTGTCCCCAACAACCGGCCAGAAAATATATATCATATTTGATGCATGCCACATGCTGAAATTAATGAGGAATATGTTTCATTCTTATATGGTATTTTATAATAATAATCCAATCAAATGGAATCATATCGTAAACTTAGTTAATTATCATCAACAAATCAAAATGAAACTAAAAAATAAATTAACCAAAAATCGTGTAAATTTTGAAAAGCATAAGATGAAAGTTAAATATGCATCTTGAGTCTTTAGTTGCTCTGCGGCTAAATCATTGGAACTCTTAAACGGATTTTGTTTTTTTCTGACGTTTCCGAAACAATAGCTTTTGTGAAAAACATCAATGATCTTTTCCATATATTGAACAGCAAACTGATACTAGATAGAGAATGGAAGCAATCCATTACAAAGAGCAACCTGACAGCCACTATAGATAAACTTTATGAAATGAAAGCCTACTTACTAAGTTTGAAAAATTTAGATGGTGTTACATTTACAAAACTCAAAGGTTTTTTTATATATCTCAATATCTAAACTAAAACTTAATTACAAATAATTTCAGAAATATGGCTTGGACAATTGACATATCCCTCAAAAGGAGTATTAAAAGTAAAATGATATATTTATTTATTTTCTGGTAAAAACAATAAATTTTAATGATTTTCAGATCTGCCAAGAATCAGAAAGATTATTAAAAATAAATAATTATTGTTTTAAGAAAAAACTTGTAATTGAAAGCAATATACTCCCACAATGTGTCAACGAAGATTTATTTAACATGGAAAATCATTTCAATGATGTACAGAATGCAAACCACTATTATGAATTAATAAAAAAAATTATCATATACAACATTAAGACGTTTTAGCTTAACTAAAGAGTTTTCTATCAACATGCAGTTTTAATAAAAGTAAATTAAATAATAAAATGCAACGAAAATTATACTATTTAAATTTATTAAATCAATTGTTTTATTGAATTTGTACAGTGCTCTAATAGATTACATCAGAAGCAAATTCTACAATCTTAGTTTTATCTTTTATATATATTTTATCTTTTATATATATATATATATATATATATATATATATATATATATATATATATATATATTTCACTTTTCAAGATAGTTGAAAGATAAATTTATAATTATGTAAATCAAACATTTTGCAGTTATACAACAAATAAACAAAACTGAAATCCAGAAATAAAAAAAGTAGGACTGATCTAACTATGAGTTAAATTAATTACTAATTATAGCAAGATAGATGTTTTATAATCAACAAGCAAGAAATATAACAATTTACACATAAATATAAAATAAAAGTATACATGTTCATGATCTAGCACCTTCGGGATTATTATATAATGTTAAACTAAAAATTATTAAACATTACATACCTATTCTATTAAAAATCAACAGTTTTATAAAATTTAATTAAATCAATAGCATAATGAATTTCATGTTAGCTTAATATTAATTAAACTATTATTTTTTTAATATATTAATGTCAATTACAGTTGAAATGTTTAAGTTAAAGAATTTGATTTTAACAAATTATTATATAATTAATTTAATATATTAATAAATTATATATAAATCATAGCATTTAAAGTTAAAACAGAAAAAAAAGATTGTTTGCTTTTACTACCAAAAGAAATTTTTAAAACCTCTGTGTGATTAAATTTGGTTTGGGTATATTATGTTGAAAGCAAATATTCCTTTGTATTGTAAGCTTTGGGGTGTGGAAAGATTCTAGTTTAGGACATATGCACAGGAGTTACATCTTAATTTAAAAATTATTAGTTGATTAATTTATTTATAACAATATAAATTGATCATGAGTTATTTTTTTTAAATATTAATAACATTTCATTTTTACAATAAAATTTTTACCCACCTCTTTTCGTTTTCTAGATTCTAATTTAATTTAGGAATGATTCTTACTCTAAAATTTAGTGTCTAATCATCGTGATTCGTGGGTGTTGGGAAAATGAATGAAGAAATCTTTATTTCAGAAAAATGAGGATCGCTAACGAACTTATTATAAATCTTCGATTTTTCTGATGCATCAAAAAAATGGCAATATCTATTTAATTTAACGATTAAATACGGCACATTATAAAGCCTAAAACTTCACGGAATGTTGAAAACGAAATGAATTTTAACAAACGAGCTGAATCGGCCAAGAATCATTAACATAACTTTGGGAAGGACAAGATTTTTTCTAATTATATCTCAGATTTTTCTAAAAATAAATCAAAATGCTCATGAATAATTAATTTTTATGAACTTGCTTCCAGAGGTAACTTGCCCGTTGAAAATTTTTCAATGTTAAAACGCTGGTAGGGCGCTTCCAGTTATATAATTCCATGGTCCATACCTTCCACAACGATCTGACACCCGAAATCCGACTATAAGAATCATTCATAATCTAATTCTATAAAATTTAATAATCATTCTATAAAATTAAAAATAATAAATTTTTTTTACTTAATTAAAAAATAAAGTAGAACTTGTTAGATATTTGCAATGTTCCTTTTTACAGAGATTTGGAAAATTGGAACCTAACATGAACCTTTTTCATGCTATACTGTACATTTGCATATTGCGATCATTCATTTAAACGTGTGTCCAGTTGAGGTTTTTATTTACGTCTTCTTGCTAATGTTTTCTTTCGTTCCGTGGTTCCGGGTTTCTGGTTCAAATTTCAAACATAAAATCTTTTTTAAAAGATTTGCAAATTTTGTGCAACTGAACGTATGATGCCGACTTGAATTTCTCTGCTTTTCAATAAGAAAACCCATTTCGGTTGATTGTTATTTGGCGTTTTCCGTTTTCGCCATACAATACATTCTTAAAAAAACATTTTAATTAAATATAACAAAATTTTGCTAATGAGAAATGTACAAAGAGAAATTCAGATTGAAAACAGCTGCGAAACCAGGATTATATTTGAATCCAGAAATCTCAACTCTTAGTACCTCCAGTGAGCAGCAAATGGAAACATCACAGTTAGTGGGGGGTAGAGGGGAAAGGTTGCAATTTCATTTTCAAATTTAAATTTATTTTCAATACTTTTTCTTTTTACCACGTTTATATATTCAGTTATAAATAAGTAGCAAGGTCATAATAATTGTGGTGCAACATGTATTCATAATGTTTTGCAAGTTTTTACTTATGTGTTGTAAAGTAATGAGCAGTTTTAATTTTATTTTATGTTTAACACTTTAACCTAAAATAAATGCAACAAACAAATTTTTTAAAACAGATCACCATCAACAATGTGCACAAACATGGAATCACTTTTCAGCAAAATGAACGAACTTGATATGGATGATGAACAGCGAAGTAGACTAAAAAAATTTCTCACTCAAAAGCAAAAGGTTGGGGAACTGAATGTTGAAGACTTTGATAAGATTAGTGAACTTGGATCAGGAAATGGTGGTGTAGTCTGGAGAGTTAAGCACAGGCCATCTGATCTCACCATGGCCAGAAAGGTGATTGCCAGTTATTTTTTATTTTGCTGTTTATGAATATACAATATATTATAGAACATTATAACATGGATTAAATTAAATGTTTTAATACTGATATTTTCAATTTATTTAAGAATAAAAATTAAAAAAAAATACATTATAAACCTTTTTTGTTGTTGCACATATTAAAAAAATATTTATTCTTGATTCTGTTTGAAGCTGATACACTTGGAAATAAAGCCAGCTGTAAGGAATCAGATAATAAGAGAACTGATGGTACTTCATGAATGCAACTCTCCATACATCGTTGGATATTATGGGTCTTTTTATGCTGATGGAGAAATAAGCATCTGTATGGAATACATGGTCAGTCATTTTTTATTATTGTTTTTGACGTTTAATCTCATTAATATTGAAATGCAAATTCTACTCTTTTTTAATTGTTTGTTCATAATTTATAATGGCATGTTCACACATGAATGAAGTTTCTTCGTTGACAGATTTAAAATTTTTAAATGGAAATTTTTTTAATGAAAATATTAGTCAGATTTGTTTAGTGTTTTAACAGTAGATTCTATTTTGGACTCATGACCATTTTGATCAAAGTTTAACTATTTTTGAAATGCTGCCATATTTGTTGTCATCCACATCAGTTTGATCATTTTTTTGTTTAACTTTCTCTTTGATCTTAGTCATTATCATCTTTATCATTGTAATATTAGACATCTCCATCAGCATCACATTCTTCATCATTCCATATCATTTTCATCATTCTAATTCTCTTCACTATCAGCAGTAATCATCGTTATTGCTGACATTTTATCATTGTCATCATCTTGATTGTTATCACCATCATAATCCTCATAGACATTTATCCTCACTACCACCACCGTCTTCGTCCTCATCACCACCACCATCACTCATTTATCCATGGTATTAGGATGGAGGATCATTAGATCTTATCTTGAAAAAAGCAGGACGCATACCTGAACCAATTCTAGGAATGATAAGTGACGCAGTCAGTATTTGTCTCACCCATCCTCAATAATAATAATAATAATAATAATAATAATAACAACAACAACAACAACAACAACAATAATAATAATAATAACAATAATAATAATTCTAAATTGATTCGTTGTTTTTCTTCTGATGATTCTGATTCTATCACAAAGCTTCATTTATTTCTGGCATGTTTTTGAGTTGATGATAAACACATGATTGCTTCTCAACTGATTGAGTATTGAATATCTAGCAGATAAAAATAATTTGAAATAATGAAAATCACAAAAAGCAGTTTATTTGTATAAAAATGCTAATGCTGTCTTTGATTCATTGTTCTTCTTTCAATTTGTAATGCTTAAAATTAAAAAAAATATGTTCAACTTAAATTTTAAATTTGGAGAATAATTGTAATAAATTACTTACTATAATAAAATATTCATCTCCTCAAAGGTCCTGAAAGGTCTCAGTTATTTAAGAGAGAAGCACAAAATTATGCACAGAGGTTAGTGTTAGATTCAATGAAGCATTGTTTGCATGCATTCATTGAGTTTCTTCTCTTTCTACATTTTGATTTCTTCTTGTAGCGTTACATTTATGGGATATTGCATTGCATATACACCTGTGCAGTTGTTGTATCACGCCTTCCTTTTTATTAGACTATTAATGCCTATGTACCTATTTGAGTGTAGATACATATAACTGCTTGTACCTGTGTATGCAGGTTTTTATGTTAGCTCACATTTATGAAGATTTTTTGACATTGTTCCTTCATAATGTTCCGACTTTATTTGAATGAACGCAAAATTATTTTTTGCATGCAAAATTATTTTATGCGCTGGTAGAAGATTTATCTGAATGTTTTTTATACATTTTATTGTGCATTGGTGCTCAAACATTACTAACCAGGCAATGGGATTGTTTATGTAAACACTCGCATGTCATCATCATTATCATTTTTTGTGGCAGCATTAATCCTGATGGAAGAAATAGTTGTACAAGCAGTACTGTTTGCAGTACTGAAGTAGTAGTAGTAGTGGCAGTAGATGGTTGTTGTTGTGTCTGTGAGTATAGTTGGTAAAAAGCAAATATGCTGTTGTAGTGGTTTTGTTATTAAGGGCTATATTAAGCAGTTTAACAGTGTTCAAGCTATTTGGGGGTTATCTTTAATATAAAGTATTATTATGTTTTTGTAGCATAATGGCACAAAATGTGGCTGATGTATGTAGCAGTGTGTAGCAGTATGGCTGGGTAGTTAAGTTGCATTTTTTGTCACTGCTTGAGATTAGCGTTGAAACAAAACTTATATAATTGCAGTAAAAGTTATTCGATAACAGCTCTTTTGTTTTGCTTTGCTCCTCTGTAACATTTTTATTTTGCTTTTGCACAAAATGGGCACATTTGGTTTTCCATATTTATGTTTTTTTTCTTATGTACTGGTATATATATTTTTATACTTTTGTGCAGCTCATCATTCAATGTCAATTTGGCTCCTTTTTATGGGCTCAGTGTTAGGGAGGTGATATTAAAAATTCATTCACTGAATAAGTGTGTTTTTTCGTCCGCTGGTTGAATGGCTGGCAGTTGATTGGCTGGTTGGTTGGTTGGCCACTTGGTTGGTCAGTCGGTTGGTTAGTTGGTTGGTTGGTCGGTTGTTTGTTTAGTTATAACCAATAAGATGTTTTGTTTTTTATTTTTTCTCAGTACTTTTAAAAACCAATTTCCTGCAACAAAGTTTTTTTTTCAATTTTTTTTTCAAATTTTGATGTTACATTTAATTTTAAAATGTTTCTTGGTAGGTAAATTATATTATTTTCTCAGTTGTATTTTTCTTGGATTAATTTTAGGCAGATGTTGTTTTTTCATTATCTTGTTTCCCCAGGAAAGTTATAATTTCCTGGAAAATAAAATGAAATATTACTTAAAATATTGTCATTGTTGTTGGTGCATGGCTCTTTCTTATTTCATATTTTCAACATTATACTTTGTTACAGCTGTCAGAGTGATTTCATTGCGCTTTTGATGGTTTATCTGTGCTTGCCAAAATATTTTTCACGCGTGCCTAGTTCTAGATTCATTTTTAAGTATCGATGGTGAGGATGATGATGAGAATGATGACGATGAAAAAGAAGAAGACGATGACAATGATGAAGGCATTGAAGTTTAGGTAGAAAAAAAGGATTGCAATAAATAGTACACACATTCCTGAATAAAAAAATTTTATACTAAAAATTATATATTAGTCTCCATTGCAGTCATTAATCATCAAGTTTTATGTTATTTTTTATTCTTATCTTTCCTTTTAGGTAACTAACTTTAGCGTTATTAATGGGATTGTTATGTTCAAGAATGCTCCATTCTGTTACACTAATGTGTAAAGGTTTCAGTTTTTTCATCAATCTTCTTTTTACATTCTGTTAACATTCATCTATCTTTTTCAAGCTACACAAAAAATATATAAGAATCCAAAATAATTTATATTAATAAGCTTATGTGCGTATGCACACACATCCACACAAAGAACACATCCACTTTGGCCACACATCAACTCAGGCAGGATGTGCTCACACATGCACTGCACACACACAGACACACCTTAGAATGAAGTTGTCATTTCAGTTTTACCATCATTAATAATTCACACGCTTCCACCTATATGATAGTTTTGAAAGAAACTGTTTCACTGGCAGTTGTTTTTTGCATAATTAACTAATAGCTGCAGTAAGGTTCTGCCTAGAACATTAATTTAATTAATATGTAAAGTACTCTGTTGTTTCTGCCGTTAATGATTTTATGTGGCGTTGTGATGATGGCTGTTTTATTGTTTTATTGTTTTCTATTTTTTCATTTTTGCTACTGACGTAAAAGAATATTTCAGTACGAAAAATGTATTCTGTTTCAGATGTGAAACCATCAAACATTCTGGTGAACTCGAGCGGTGAGATAAAGTTGTGTGACTTTGGCGTTAGTGGTCAGCTCATTGATTCCATGGCCAACTCATTTGTTGGGACAAGATCTTACATGTCGGTCAGTCATTTACATTGCATCTCATACTGGAATGAATGCTGTTGTAAAGATGTTCACATGAAAGTTTTGAATTTTTTTTCGAAAAGTTTTGACTTAACATTAACATTATCTCTAGGATCGGATGAGATTGCTAAAAATTTTAACATAGTAACTATATGCAACATGGTACTAAATATATCAATGCATTGAAATATTTAACATCATACCTTATATAATGTTTTTTTTTTCAATCTAGCATAAATTGTTAAGGGTAAGAATAATTTTGTTGATTCAGCCTGAGCGCCTGCAGGGCACACATTACAGCGTGCAGTCAGACATATGGAGCATGGGACTGTCCCTGGTGGAACTTGCAATCGGGAAGTATCCCATTCCCCCGCCTAGTCCCTCTGAGATTGTTGGTGTCTTCGCAGCTGATGCAATATCAGAGCACATCGATGCGGCAAAGATCGGCAAACCATTGACTGGCTAGTATTGGCCTTATTATTATTATTATTATTATTTTTATTAATATTATTACTATAACAGTTTATTGAAAATTAATATAATTTCTTCTATTAACTTTAAAACGTCCTCTAAAAAAATTTAATTGCCATGGAAGAAAACACTTTTTAACAACGTTCATGTTTCTCTGTCAAGATGTGCTAATGTATTTTTATGCACTTCATATTTAATTGGCGTTACTTAAGTGTCTTCATCCTAATTGATCTTCGCATCTTTTCTCATGCCTCTGTTTATTTGACTGTATCCATTCACATTCACAATCCTATACATTCATTGGTTATATCTTTAATAATACCATCACATATGACGGATCTGAATTCACATCACTGTCATAATTATCTTTAATAATTATTATGGCCATGGTATGAAATTCTAATGAATAATAATAATAATAATAATAATAATAATGAACCTGTTTAAAAAGGAGAAGAAAAAAAAACAAAATAAAACATGATTTAAATGTTATAATAATAATATTATGTAATAATAATAATAATAATAATAATAATAATAATAATAATAATAATAATAATAATAATAATAATAATAATAATGAGGATGACATATGCACACGCAGCCTGTCCAGGAAATAGGGAGGTGATAACTGGAGATGGCCCACTTCCCATGTCTGTCTTTGAGTTGCTAGAGTACATTGTGAACGAGGTGTGTTTGTTTGTCTTTAATATTTGTGCTTATGCTGACTACTGCAAGGCAAGTTTAAGTAAGGTCTGAAAATGTTTTCGTTTGAATATTTTATGTTTTTTTTTTCTCTGTCCCAGACACCACCATCTTTGCCTAAGAATTGTTTCTCAAATGAAATTCAGGACTTTGTCAATAGCTGGTAAAAAAAATTACCTGATCAACTAATTTTTTAATTTTCAAATTTTTATTATTTTTGTAATTATTCAGTGTAATTCTATCTTTAATTATGTGGGTATTATTTTGAAGTTTGAAAAAGAAACCTTCTGAGAGATCTGATTTGAAATCCTTAATGGTCAGTTTTGCTATTGCATTACAGTATTTTTTTCAATTTAAGAACTTGTCAGCGTAGAGTAAATATTTCGCATGTTTATAATTCATCAATTCGAATATTATTTATAAATATAATAAGCCTATTCTCCAAATGTCATTCATTTGTTTGTTTGTTTTTAATGTTTTTAAAATGTTTACATGGAATTTATCAAAATGACGACCGATAAATAAATTTTATAAATTGTTGTCAACATTTTTACCGATTTTTTTTTCTTGAATAAATTGTCCATGGCAGAATCATGCCTTCATAAAGAAAACGGAGCAGGAATACGAGAAGGAAGTTAATTTTGGTCACTGGGTCTGCAAAATTATGGATCTAAACTAATTGCACCATTCATTTATTCATTCGTTCATGCATTTTTTCATTCACGCATTCATTCATTTATTCATTCATTCATTCATTCATTCATTCATTCATTCATTCATCCATCCATTAATTCATTCATCCATTCATTCATTCATTCATCTATCCCTCCATCCATCCATCCATTCATTCATTCATTCATTCATTCATTCATTCATTCATTCATTCATTCATTCATTCATTCATTCATCCATCCATTAATCCATTTATTCATCCATTCATTCATTCATCTATCCATCCATCCATCCATCCATCCATTCATTCATTCATTCATTCATTCATTCATTCATTCATTCATTCATTCATTCATTCATTCATTCATCCATTAATCCATTTATTCATCCATTCATTCGTTCATCCATTCATTCATTCATCCATTCATTCATTCATCCATTTTTATCTATTCATTCACGCATTCGTTTATTTAATGCTCTTCTATCAATTAGATCTGTGTTTTAAAGTTTTTTGTACGTCTGTTACGCATATTTAACACATCGTTTTTGGTTTTGCAGATGTTGTTGTTGTCGTTGTTAGCGTCAGTGATGTCAATGATGATGTTGTTGGTGAACATCGCTCGTTATCTAAACGCATTTTCGAATATCTAGTTGTGACTTTATTTTTCTTTTTTTTTGTTTGTTTGTTTGGCATTTTTAAAATTCCATTCGTTGATATATTTTTTGATGAAGCTCTGAACTTGCGCAATTTTATTTTGGTTCGCATGTAACGTTTTTACCGTCTAGTATGTGGATGTTGAATAAATTAAAAACAAGTCATGTTTTATTTTTAATCTCTTACGGAGAACATTGTGTGATGTTAAAATCTAGTGTGCATGTGTATGTATATATATATATATATATATATATATATATATATTTTTACAATATTTTATAAATTCTACCGAATGTTTGGCGTTAATATATTTGTAGTTCGTTTTTTCGATTTTTCTCACTAAAGTTTTTTGGTGAACGTTTAGTTTATTAAAATTTAAAATAAACTTATTTTTCGAATTCATGATGCAAATAAGGCCATATTTCGATTCCGAATGAATCATCGTCAGTGCTCCTTGCTGTATATATAGGAAAATATTGACTTTGTCAAGATTAACTTTGACGCTCTAAAAATTAACTTTGGTGTTGTAAAATTGAACTTTGATGCGAATTAGGTGTCAGGTTTCTTAATTGGCTGGTCATCTTCTTTGGTCTCCTTTTCTTCATCGATAGCATCATATTCTTCTTTGTCACTATTTACCATGCTAGTTTTTATTACTTCTTTGTTTTCGTTGTTGGTTAAGTGCCGGGTTGGAAGCGAGGTTGTCATTTTTTGTTGTATATTTATTTTTGGTTTATTTACAACAATAAAAAGACGTCTCACCTAATACAACAATAAAAAGACGTCTCACCTAATACTGAAAAACAACTGCAGTCCTAGAGATAACTAGAGTTAAAGCGTAATCACGTAATATATGAATTTAATTGCCCCTTTGACGGCTGTGCACGTCAACATGACTCATATATCGGGATTACTACTACCTCACTGACTAGAAGGCTTACGATGCATAAACAGAGTGGTGCTATCAAATCTCATTTGGACTCAACACACTCAATCACAATTAGCCGTGAAATCCTCGACAGCAACACCAAAGTAATATACCAGAACAGCAACTACACGCATCTTAAAATTGCAGAAGCAGTCCTAATCGACACCAATAAACCAAAAATAAATATACAACAAAAAATGACAACCTCACTTCCAACCCGGCGGTTAACCAACAGCGAAAACAAAGAAGTAATAAAAACTAGCATCGTAAATAGTGACAAAGAAGAATATGATGCTATCAATGAAGAAAAGGAGACCAAAGAAGATGACCAGCCAATTAAGAAACCTGACACCTAATTCGCATCAAAGTTCAATTTTACAATACCAAAGTTAATTTTTAGAGCGTCAAAGTTAATCTTGACAAAGTCAATATTTTCCTATATATACAGGAAGGAGCACTGACGATGATTCATTCGGAATCGAAATATGGCCTTATTTGCAGCATGAATTCGAAAAATAAGTTTATTTTGAATTTTAATAAACTAAACGTTCACCAAAAAACTTTAGTGAGAAAAATCGAAAAAACGAACTACAAACATATTAACGCCAAACATTCGGTAGAATTTATAGAATATTGTAAAAATTATGGTCTATTACCAACATATATATATATATATATATATATATATATATATATATATATATATATATATATATATATATATATATAAAATATGCATATGTTATA